GAAGTTAGGGGTGACCAGGCCTGCAGAGGAGGGCAGTTGGGGGTGACCAGAACTGCAGTGGAGGGCAGTTGAGGGTGACCAGGCTGGCAGCGGAGGGTAATTGGGGACAATCAGGCCAACAGGGGAGGGCAGTTAGAGGCGACCAGGCTGGCAGGGGAGGGCAGTTAGGGGTGACCATGCCGGCAGTGAAGGGCAATTGGGGGTGACCAGGCCTGCAGAGGAGCAGTTAGGTGTCGATCAGGCTGGCAGAGGGTGGTTAGGGGGTGATCAGGCTGGCAGGCAGAAGCAGATAGGGGGCAATTAGGCAGGCAGGCAGGTGAGTGGTTGGGAGCCAGCCGTCCTGGATTGTGAGAGAGGTCCCAGATTGGAGAGGGTATAGGCTGGGCTGAGGGACATTTCCCCCCCCCCCCCATGAATTTTGTGCACTGGGCCTCTAGTATATATATATATATAAAAGGCTAATATGCAAATTGTCCCCATGGGAGTTTGACTGGGAGATTGGAAGTTCAATTGCTCACTATGACATGCACTGACCACCAGAGAGTCATGAGGAATGAAGGAAGGCTCCATCTGGCAGCCAGTTGCTGGGGAAGGAAAGTCCCAGCCAGCAATCAGAAGGCCCCAATTGTCCCTGATCGCTAGCCAGCCTAGGGACCCTACCTGTGTATGAATTTCATGCACTGAGCCTCTAGTTGTAAATAATGAACATTTTGATGGTTGCAGATTGGGGGTTAGGGGGTAGGTAAAAAAAGGATAATAACTTTGGTGTCAGATGGGTATTAAATTGATTGAGATGATCACTTTAAAAATTATATAAATGTCTAATCACTGGGTTGTACACCTGAAACTAAAGTAATATTGTACATCAACTATAATTGAAAAAAATTAAACATTACTAAAATAAAAAAAGAAGGAGAAAAAAAAAACTGGGGTAGTAATACTTATATCAGACAAAATAGACTTTGAAGACTATAGCCAGAAACAGGAAAGGATATTTCATATACAATAGCCAAGATATTGAAGGTCCAACCTAACTGTTTATTGTTAGACATGGATAAAGAAATGTGGTACATATATACAATGAAATATTACTTAGGCATTTGCATCAATACAGATGTACCTAGAGAGTATTATGATTAGTGAAATAACTCAGAGAAAACAAGTACCATATGATTACACTTATAGGTGGAATCTAAGAAACAAAGCAAAATAATAATAAAAAAAAAAAAAGAAACAAACTCATAGATACAGAGAACAAACTGATGGTTGCCAGGTGGTTGGGGAGCTGGGTGAAAAAGGTGAACAGATTAAAAAATACAAATTGGCAGTTACAAAATAATCACAGGAATATAAAATACAGCATAGGGAATACAGTCATTAATCTATAATAATAAAAGCATAAATGCTAATTAGATCGGACAATCAAATGACCTTCTGGACGTCATTCTGGATGTCCTTCCCAAAGAAGCTGTGATGGCAGGGGCTGAGGCAGAGGTGGTTAGGGGGGATCAGGCAGGCAGGTGAGCAGTTAGGGGCAATCAGGAATGCTGGTGAGTGGTTATGGATGTTGAGGCAGGCAGGCAAGTGGTTAGGGGCAATGAAGCAGGCAGGCAGAGGGGTTAGGTGCAATGAGGCAGGCAGGCAAGTGGTTAGGGGCGATCAGGCAGGCAGATAGGCAGGCAAGTGGTTAGAAACCAGGGGTTCCAGATTGCAAGAGGATGTCCAACTACCAATTTAGGCCTGATCCCACCTAAATTGGCATTGACACATCCCCCAAGGGGTCCCAGATTGTTAGCGGGTGCAGGCTGGGCTGAAGGACACTACCCCCCTGCATGAATTTCGTGCACCAGGCCTCTAGTATAATAAATTGGTATGGGGCCAGGCAGGTTCTAAACTTATTGGAGTGATCTCTTTGTAAGTTATATAAATATCTAACCATTATAATGTACATGTGAAACTAATGTTTAATGTCAACTTTAATTGGAAAAAAAAGAATTTTAAAAAATACATTTTAAGCTGAAAAAGGTAATTTAAAATTCAGAAAAATAAAGGTCGTCTATTCCTTGTTATATTTTTGCAATACAGTTATCAGAATATTTAAAGCTACAAATGTGAAATGACCAACTTTTAAATTCAAGTACATTAGAAATACCCTATGTATGAAGTAAGATTCTGTTTAACCAGATTGTCTTCTTACAATGTGCCCTCAATGACAATATTCTTAAAGCCAGAAACATTTTTATATGTCACCTACTACGTACTTTAAGGCCAAGGTTTGAGGATGATCTCTACCTATGATTTTCCCAGGTCATCTAAATGTTTATATAATCCCTTCTTAAGAGCCTTACCTTTAGTTTTGGTGATGTAAAGATAAAGTCTTAGAATGTTTCCCAAGCATTATAGTTTTGGGTCTTCGTAAAAAAATAAAATAACATATAATCTAATATTCTCCTTGTGTTTGAATCTTCTGGTAATGGTGATGTCATCAGACTTCATGATGAAAGCATTAGATAGTCATAATGATACATTTGTTAGCAAATTCTTCTCATTGTTATCAGAACTTTGTCCCATTTGAAAGAGTCCAGGATTTTACCTGTTTGCTTTTAGTTTTTGTTGTACTTGCTGTTTTCTTTTCTTTCTTTTTTTTAAAAAAAATATATTTAATTGATATTTTACAGAGAGGAGAAAGGGAGAGAGATAGAGAGCTAGAAATGTTGATGAGAGAGAAACATCGACCAGCCGCCTCTTGCACACCCCCTATTGGGGATGTGCCCGCAACCAATGTACATGTCCTTGACCGGAATCGAACCTGGAACCTTTCAGTCCGCAGACCAACGCTCTATCACTTAGCCAAACCGGTTTCGGCTGTACTTCTGTTTTCAATGACTGATTTTTAACTCTATAAATATATTTTGGTATATGCATGCATATGAATGACACAAAAGTACAACTTTTTTTCTTCAGTGCCTCATTAGACATTGTCTAATTAAGGTAAAGCTAATTCCTTCTTATGCTTTCTTAGAATGTACTTTCTGATTATAGAAGTACCACATTTTCATTTATTAAATTTGTCAAGTGCATAAAAGCACAAAGAAGAAGAAAATAATCAAATGTTATCACATTGTCCTGAGATATTCAATCTTAATTTGAGGTAGCATGCACCTTTATTTTGCCCTTCTTTAAAAATAAATTAGTTTTTCATATTGAAAAAGAAAGACACATTAAAAAAAATTCTAACAGAGAAAAGGGTTATGTAATGTATACTATATCATTTTCTCCCTTCAGCACCTGACTCTTCTCATTCCCACATCTCCATTGGTAGCCACTGTTAACAGTTTACTGTTTTTTTTTATATTACATAAAATATAATATATAATTAAAAAATATAATATAAGTGTGTGTATATTCCCCTTTTTATTGTGCAAATGGCAGCATACTAAAAACACTCTTCGAATGCGGGAGCCAGACATGGCGGGGATCTCCTTTTTCCGTGTCCCACACAGAAAGAGAGATGAACGAACCGGTTCTAAGTGGAGGCACCCAGGGAGTGAGAAATATTAGAAATAAAAAGAGAAGACACAGAGATAGATTTTAAGCTGGGAGCTGGGTGGGCTGCCATACTGTCTGCTGGAGAGGCAGGAAGACAACAACCTCTCCCAGTGCATTTATTTTATACCCCCAATACCGGGAAGTAACACCAACTTATTTGCATTCTTACGTAGGCCCTAGCGTGCCTGGATTTACATATCTAGTCCCACCCCTGCCGACACCTGGGATGATATGAAGGCCAAGCTGACAACGTGTCCACCATCTTGGGGAAACATGTTCCCAAGGTGTGGCTCTGCCTACGCCTTGAGTTCAGCTGACGATAATTAAGGAAAATTGCCCATGTGCCTTCCCAGGCGGCCCTCTACATTCAATAATTTGAATTTCTCACTCATCAGTATATAATTTGAAGATCATTCCATTACATCTCATACATCTAACACTATTTTTCTAGTAAACTGTAATCTAGTAAAAGCCTAATATGCTAAGTGTCTGGTCGTCTGTTCAACCAATCCAAGTGTAATATGCTAATGATATGCTAAGGCCACTCAACTGCTCACTAATACATGCAATCACCACCAGGGGGCAGACAGTCGATTGGTCAACCAGTCACTATGATGTGTACTGACTACCATGGGACAGATGCTCCAACCGGTAGGTTAGCTTGCTGCAGGGGTCCGGCTGATCGGGACTGAGCAAGATGGATCGGACACACCCTGGAGCTGTCCTGTGGTCCCTCCCCAACTGGCCAACATCCTTCATAGATCCCCAGCCCTGATTGTGCACCAGTGGGGTCCCTTGGCCTGGCCTGCAGCCTCTCACAATCCAGGACCCCTTGGGGGATGTTGGAGAGCTGGTTTTGGCCTGACGGTGGAACAACTGGTCACTATGACGGCAGCAGGTGCAAGAGGTGGTTGCTGCCCCTGATCTCCCCTCAGGAGCAGGAGGAGGTGGAGAAGCCCTGAGGGGTGATTGGGGCTGGCAGTTGCCACTCACACTGTTGATGGCACTGAGTGATCAGGGCTGGCGCTGGGAGCCAGCAGTGGGTGCAAGCAGGGTCAGTGCTGGCAGCAGGTACAAGTGTTGGGTGGGACCACAGTGTGCGTGGAAGCAAAAAATCTTCAGTAACCACCAGAGGCTTGCCTTGATGGTAGTAACTGGCACCCTGCCTTGGTCTGGTGCTCCATTATCCCACTGAGACCAACGCCCGCCATGTTCCGCACATGCCCTCTGGTGGTCAGTGCACGTCATAGCGACTGTTTGGTTGTTCAGTTGTTCTGGTTGTTCCACCGTTCAGTCTATTTGCATATTAGCCTTTTATTATATAGGATATTGAGGGGCAGGTTTTCAAAGGTTGAGTAAAGAGAGGCTTTCAATTTTCTCTGTACATTTTTATTTTCATTAGTTTTTATATGAAACAATTTTGTAAGCTTTAAAATGCATAGTTCTTTTTGAATGACTCAGTTTCCTAAGTAATTGTCTGCCCATCTGGTGGCAGCTTTAATGTCCTCAAAATTTTATATTAAGAGTATATTAGTATAGTTGCAGTGACTTTCCCTTACCCACACTTTTAGACAATTCCTTAAACAATATGAGAAATGCATAAATACCTACTTTGGTCAATAAAAATACTTCAAGTTTCACTTTCTTGCGACAGGTTTTATTTTGTTGAATGTGATCCAACAAATAATATATCCTCAACATTCACAGAGAATATGAAATAGCTAAATTATCATCTGATGTCAACACATTCTTTCTACAACTGCTACATCTCATTTTATACAATTCAAAATGAAAGTATGAGTATGCTGCTTGGTGGGCTTGCCATTTTGTTAGTGACTTTTTAGTGTTAAAATTTGTCAAGGGCTAATTATCTAAGATATAAGACAAAATGATAATCTTAAATTCAGAAGTTTAAAGGAATGTCTTCCATATTATGTATTTCTCTAACAATGTTATAATACTTAGGAGCCCAACGGATTTTAACAGCTTTAATTTCACCAGTATGTTTTGTACCAATATCCCAGCTATATTCCGGAGATAAGAGTTTAGTAGGTTTATGGAGAAAGAAATACTTGTTTAAGTGACTTTCATCATGCCACACTGCTTCAATATTATTTTTCTTATCATTCATGATTCCTTTGAAGCACTCTCTGGCAATGCTGAGAACCTGAATGGGAGTGCCACCAAATACAGCAGCATGGTAATAAAAGTCTCCCTTACCAATAGGTATGTATGCTTCTGATAAGTTATTTCTCTCATAAGGTACATTTATAGGATGTTCATTATACCACTTAGAATGTAACTGAGCTACTGACTCCCCTAGGGTCTCTAATCCATATTTCCCCATGAAGACTTGATCCACATCCATGCAGAAAAGGTAGTCAACTTCATATTGTATGTGATCTACAACATGCTCACTGATGGTCTTCATGCGCATCATACTAATATCTTGCCATCTCTTCTCTCGCTTAATTTCAAAAACTTTCATTGTCTGGAGGGGTCTCAGCTGTATCCAAGGTATCTTGGACAAGTTATCTGTCAGAACATAAATTATGACTTTCTGGCCAACCATAAAATGCTTATTAGCAGATGATAAAAAGTTGAACAAATAGAATTCATTATACCTGTGAAGTAAAAAAGAAACAAGTTCATTTTCTTATATGTTAGTGGAACATATACTATTTGAATTATACTGACTATAGTTTACCCAAAAATGCTACTAAGCAACCAAATATTAGATATGCTTCTTGAGTTGAATTTTAGTAGTATAAAAGAAAGTGAAATTATCTGCCTTTGCTCTTCCTCATGGGTTCTGTGGACAATGGGAAAGAAGAGGAATTCCTCACAAGAGTGAATGAAACTTGGTGAGATTAGGGAACTGCACAGAGTCCAGTGCAAGGTGAGAGCCACGGTCAATTTGCATATTATTCTTTTATTAGATAACTATTTAATGATGTTTCAAAACTATAATTTTAATAAATAATAGATACATTGTTCAACTTTATATAATACTTTCTTGTACTTTTTTGGTATAATTTCACTATCAGGGCAGCACTTGCTTCATTAAATGAATTGGGAAGTGTTCCCTCCTCTTTTGTTTTTTGTAAGAGATTGTATAGAATTGATGTTAATTCTTCAATAAATATTTGGTAGAATTCTCCAATGAAAGCATGTTGGCCTGGAAACTCTGGGGGTTTTAGACTCTTCTGTTTTTTGTAAGATATTGTATAAAATTGATATTAATTCTTCAATGAATATTTGGTAGGATTCTCCAATGAAACCATGTTGGCATGGAGACTCTGGGATTTTTAAATTTATACATTCTATTTCCTCAGTAGCTATAGGGCTATTCAAATAGTCTATTTCATGTTGGGTAGGTTATGGTAGTTTCAGAGCCCATTTTATCTAAGTGGTTAAATATAGTGAAATATTGTGTATAGAGTGTTTTGTACTATTCCCTGATTAACCTTTTGATATCCGAAGGTCTGAGGAATATACCCTGCTTCTTTCCTGATATTTGTAATTTGTGTCATTTTTTTTCTCTGCCAGAAAATAAATGGATGACTGTGATTTTTTTTTCAAAGAATGAGCTTTTTGTTCATGATTTTTTTCTATAGCTTTTCTGTTTCAATTTCATGGATTTCTGTTCTTATATTATTTCCTTCTGTTTGCTTTGGCTTTATTTTGCTCTATTTTTCTAGATTTTTTGTGTGGAATTATTGATAATATCTCATTTTCTACAATAAAAAGCCTGAATGTATAGGACACACAGTAGTACCTACCTTCCCACAGCAAACACAGTCAGCCCCACAGTAATTTTATGATGTGCATAATAATTTTCCAGTACTTCTTCTTTATAAGTGTCATGCCACACAACTGGAGCTAACCAGTTGGTAGTTGCATTCATGGATGCTCTGTAAGAAAGACATAAGCTTTATGAACAAAATGCCTTTTGATAACATTGCACTAGATATTATTTATATATAAATATTGTGTCTGATTGCAGCATTTCCTCTTAATCTTAAGCTTTTTTTTTTTTTAAGGTATGGATCTCAGAGTCCAATACACCCAGGTTTTATTTTTTTAATTATTATTATTTTTAATATATTTATTGATTTTTTACAGAGAGAAGGATAGAGAGCTAGAAACGTCGAAGAGAGAGAAACATCGACCAGCTGCCTCTTGCACACCCCCTACCAGAGATGTGCCTGCAACCAATGTACATGCCTTGACCAGAACTGAACCTGGGACCTTTCAGTCCACAGACCGACGCTCTACCACTGAGCCAAACCAGTTTTGGCTTAAGCTTTTTATTTTTTTATTTTATTTTTTTAATCGAATGCACCCTTACACTTTTGACCTGCCATCATTCTAGGACCTTTGAGTTTTTATTATTTACACATTCATGGAGGATGCATGTCCTAATGTCCATTCCCAATGGGTCTAGGCCAGTGGTTGGCAAACTCATTAGTCAACAGAGCCAAATATCAATAGTACGACGATTGAAATTTCTTTTGAGAGCCAAATTTTTTAAATTTCTTCTAATGCCACTTCTTCAAAATAGATTCTCCCAGGCTGTGGTATTTTTTGGAGGAGCCACATTCAAGGGGCCAAAGAGCTGCATGTGGCTTGCGAGCTGCAGTTTGCCGACCACGGGTCTAGGCCACTGCTTATTTTTCCAAATGTAACCAAAGATCCATCTGCTCTCCTATATTTTGAATGCCAGCCATGAGACTGTTGCCATTCATTAATTTCTATTGAAAAATCTATGGATTAATCTCACATGTTAGATTTGGCATTCTTACCTGGGGGAAAACCAGTCTGATAGATTTAATTCTGGTACAGTATTCGCAGACCTATCAAGAAAAATAATGTGAAGAGTCACACTATACATTATTGGAGTTTGAGATAACTTGAGTGTCTATCAAATCATGGGCTGTATTATAATAAGATACAAAATGCAAAGTGAGCATGAAGCAGTAAGAAAAACAGTGATGAACTTAGTAGTGGCATGGAAAAATCATGATTTTCAACCTCAACTTAACCTTGTGTGCTTCCCAGAAAACTTTGTTCCCATAGTTATCATTCTTATTCTAATAATAAGGGAAAATAGCAGCTATCAGATGAAAACTCCCTCAACTTTCTGTCATCTCATATCCAAATTTACTTATAGTGAGTGCCCTAGGTGGTTTGGCTTAGTGGATAGAGCATCAGACTGCAGACTGAAGGGTCCCAGGTTTGATTCTGGTCAAGGGCACATACTGTGGTTGTGGGCTTGATCCCCAGTAGGGGGCATTCAAGAGGCAACCAATCAATGATTCTCAACATTGATGTTTCTCTCTTTTCCTCTCCCTTTCTTTCTGAAATATAGCCTATATAATAAAAGGCTAATATGCAAATTGTCCCTCAGGAGTTTGACTGGCAGACCTGGAGTTCAGTTGCTCGCTATGACGTGTGCTGACCACCAGAAGGTGGCGTGGAACATGGCAGGCAACCAGCAGAGGGCAGTAGTGTGCTGAGGGAGATAGAGAAGGGAGGCGGGCCAGGCCTAGGGACCCTACCGTATTTTGTTTACTGGGCCACTAGTATACATTAAAAAAAAAAAAAAAAAAATACCTATAGTGCTGAATATTTTTCCCTTCTACCACAGTGGAAATAAATTTCTACTTTTGTCTAAGATTAGCCTTAAATATCCTGCTCAGAAGCCTTGATTTGATTATTAATCTCAGAAGGGTTTCTCTGAGGTCCTTTATTTGATCAGTTGACACTCTCTTGGGCATTTTCCTATGGCTTCAAATTTTCATGTACAAGTAGACTTCTCCCAGGATTATAGGACTTACATATCCAACTGTATTCTGAAGTCTTCTACTTGAAGTTTACACAGACACTTCAAAATGAAGATGTTAATGCCATCATCTCTTCCCCAAAGTAGGGCCTCTTCATATGTTGCCTTACCTCTCCGGATCCATTTGGAATGGCAAAGTAGAAATATGAGAATCATTCTACACTCAGAGAACTCCATAAGTCCCAGCATCAAATTCATTATTAAACCATGCTGGTTTTACCTCCAAAACATCTCTCAAATCCATCCCTTATCTCCATTCCCTGCCACCACGACTGCAAATCACCATCATCTTTTATTTGGGCTACTGCAATAGCACAATATTTGGGGAAGTTTCCTTTCTGCACACATTTTTTTTTCTGCAATCATTCTGCTGACATGATTTGGTAGGTGGCAGATGGTTAATGCAATCTCCTGAGAGTCTTTTAGCCAAAACTATATTCCTGTGTGTTGCCCATATATTTAAAAGGCACAAGGTTCCTATAGGCTGAATTCTGACTCCTACAACTCAATCTCCTAACCAGTTTGCACTCCTCTATCAGAGGCAGCACCTCTGCCACTCTGCTCTTTGACTCCTACTATTCTGACCTTAAACGAATATCTCCAATATGTGTTTGTAAAACTGCTTTGATTTAGCCTGCCTGTAGGAACCAAGGATTTGCAGGTTTTTCAGTGCCCTCTAACCAGGTTTGTCCTCAAAGAAGAGGTCATCGCATATTTATAAATACTTACCAGCATTGATATATCCTCTGTAGTTTCTTTGTGCTTAGGATAAATTAAAAAAACACACACATTTATTTACTTTTGAACTTATATGAAGGGTTTTCACATTTAAGATGACTAGAGTTATACTGTCAATCTATTCATTTTATTACCTAATTTTACCAAATATTTAATGAACGCATACTGTTATGGACAGAATGTTTGTGTTGAATTCCTAACTCCCAATAGTATTAGAAGGTAGAGCCTTTGTGGATGATTAGGTTGGGAGGGTGAAGCCCTCCTGAATGGGAATGACTTTTTAAGAGAGATTTCAGAGAACTCCTTCACCCCTTCCACCATATGAAGACTTGGTGTGAGGATGGCTCTCTATGAATCAGGGACGGGCATTCACCAGACACCAAATCTGCTGGCTCCTTGATCTTGTATTTGCCAGCCTCCAGAACGAGAGAAATAAATTTCTGTTGTTCATAAGCCATCCAGTCTATGATATTTTGTCATAGCAGCCTGAATGGACCAAGACACATATTATATGCCAAGTACATTTTTGGTTATAGATTACAGTAATGAACATGATAAAAGTTACTGAGGTGATTTGACTGATTAATATTACTCATATGCTATATCTTAAAAAATAACTATTTTTAATTACAAATGAGAAAAACATCATTAAAATAATGAAATTTGCTAATAGCAAATGAAGTCTTTCTGCTTGTCTCAAGTATGTGGAGGGCAAATACCATACATAGTGCCTGAAGACACCAATATTAAAGATGTTTCTTAAAGAAGATGCTACCTATTTAAAAATGGCACAAATTTCTCCATAGTATTTACTAACATTACATTGCCATAATTATACAGTAACTGTCTTGGCAGTTTAATGTTGCTTCTCCTCACACATATTGGCCTACACAAATTACATTTAGCTTTGATTTCATTAGAAACAAAGAATTTTTATGCTGAAGGCAATATTTATGCTGATATATTTGAATGTCATTTGGCTATATCTTGGTGTATTTGGATTGAAAAAGTTGCATTCTGACTTATCAGGCTGAGCATAGAACCTTCCTGACATAACAAGATCCTTAAACCAAACACCAAAATAAAATATTCATCATTTTTTAAAGTTACCTGAATTGATACTCTCTTTGCAAGGCCCATAGAGATAATAAAGTCAATAACAAAAGAATTGTTTTTCTTTTGTATCTCATCCTTTACTGGGAGGAAACAGAAACATGAAAGTAGATTAAATAAAGCACAATGTATAGAGAATAAGCTTATGAATCCCTCTTATGACTTAAACTAGATAACTTAATAGATTTTTTCTGGGATTTAAGGCACCACTGGTCATTGAATGTTGCTTTATATTGAAATAGAATTGAGTCAGTGAAGAGACAGCATTTTAACTATTCACCCAGTTGTAAAATATTAACTGTTCTGGTCTTGATACAAGAGATCTTATAAACTTTGTTCACTTTTTCTAAAGTACAAAGGACTCTTTTCTTCAGAAAAATTATACAACTTCCTTTCCTAACTCTTTCAGAATGGGGTGTTAGAGAAAAGAGATAATTATGAAAATACTTACTAGGACTCTAAAGAGTTGTATAATTATAAAGAAAACTTAATTACTTGTAATTAAATAATCTTATGAAGTTGATCATTCCAAGATAGGTGATAGAACTGATAACTATCAAATATGTGCCCCTTCTCAAAGTATTTGAATATATAATTGGTTCAGAGCACTCACTGGAGGCTAAAGCATAATATTTAGATTATTTGTACATTGACCTTGGAATTTTAGCCATCAAAACTCCTTTGTAATACATAATCTGTGGGATATAAAATAGTCTGTGTGCAGAAAAGTAATTGGCTTTAGGTTAATTTGATTGAAATTAGGGACAAACTCTTACCTTTTGTTTTCCTAAGATCACACAGGAATTTTATACAGTTTCTTCTTTGAAGAATTAATTATGGTGTAGTGGCTTGGGAAGACATAGAATCATAAGAGGGCAGACAGTTGTCAAGCAAGAACTTTTGAAACCTTTGAAAACTCATAAATCAGGTAACCTATTATTGATTTTTGTGTTTATTATTTCAGTCTTCTGTGAATTATGATGTCATCAGATTCTCTTGATGATGAAATAACTAGATGCTTGTAATCATAACAATACACATGCTTGTAACTTCTCTTTATCATTATCAGAGGACTGGATTTTGTCCCATTTAAAAAAAAGTAGGATCATATAAGTTTCTTTCTTGTCGTTTTTTTTTAAAGCATTATAATACAGTAGAGGCCTGGTGCATGAATTTGTGCACATTGAAAGGAAATTAATTAGAAGAAATACTTTAATATAGCTATTAGCCCTATCTCTCTAATAGACACATCAGCCAATTTCACAAACAACAATGACAGATGGAAACACACACGTGCGATTGGCGCCAGCAAGAGCTTTATATATATATATATAGATAGATAGATAGATAGATAGATAAACTTGCTTAATTAAACCTGCTTTCTGATTTAGCTAAACTTTCTCCAGCCCAGTGAAGCACTCCAACTTCTCTTTCAGATAATTGTCAGCAACATAGCAGTAAATATCAACACGAAGCAGATTATTATTGTAGATCATGCAGGGAGAACAAAGGGTAAAATATTTAATTGCAATAGTGTTTGACTATATTCTACTCAGTGAGAAAACCTGAAATCATTTTCAAGGTCCACCATTTCTTACTTTTCATTTGGGTCAAGTTTCTAAGCTTTCTAAATCTCCATTTTCTGGCTAATGTAAAGAAAATAGGATTCCACTGAGTCTCCTATCTACTTACTCCAGGACTTCTGTGAGGATCAAATGAGATGAGGGACAGGAAAAGACTTTAAAGACATTTGGTTAAAGTGTAAAATGTTTCCACAATGTTGTAAAGCAAGTGTGTTCCTAGGCTGAAGAAACTCCAAGGAGGCTAGTCACTAGGGAGAGGAAGCTGGGTATTGCTATGTGACGTTATTACCTGGTGTCTACAGCCACCATTTCCTGGCTGGGTTAGGCTGTGGGCCACATTTTGTGCCATGGGGGTCTTGACAGCGTCAATTGCAATTTGGTAGAGTGTTGCTCCGAGGTGGTGGCAGGGCCTGTGTCCCACTTGGGGGACTTTGTTGGTGCCAGGTTCATGGTGCTGTTTCTCTGTAAATGGCCAGTATGTGTCACAGTAGCTCCTGCATTGAATGTCTGCCCCCTGATGGGCAGTGCATGTCATAGCAACTGGTCAGATGGTTGGACACTTGGCATATTAGCCTTTTATATATATAGATTTTAAACTGACATGAAGTATAATTTACATAAAATAAAAGTTTGTACACTTTATTGGGTTTGTTACACATGCACACATATATGTAAAAAGCACCAATAACTCTTCTTGTGCCCCTTTGAGTCACTTAATGATATCCAATAGGTGTCTTAGGCACTATTCACTTTTCTCCTATCTTTTTTTCTATTCCTCAGACTTGATAATCTCCATTGTCCAATCTTCAACTTCACTGATTCTTTCTTCTGCCTACTCAAATTTGCTTTTAAACCCCCCTAGTAAATTTTCATTGCAATTATTATAATTTTCACCTCTGGAATGATTTTTTTATTTATTTTCTCACTCTTTATTGATAATTCCATTTCATTTATACAGTGTTTTCTTGACTTTATTTTTTCAAATCATCCTATAGTTTGAGCATCTTTGACAGTTGTTTTAAAGACTTTGTCAGGGTCATCTCTAAGAACAGTTTCTGTTGTTGTTGTTGTTTTTTCTTTGAATGGGTCATATTTTGCTGTTTCTTTGTATGCCTTGTGATTTTTTTTATTGAACTTCTACATTTGAATCTAATATTGTGATAACTCTGTAAATAAGATTATCACCCTTCCCCTGGCGTTAGCTGTTTTTTGTTCGTTTTCATTCATTTATTTTTGCTTTTTTGGTTGTAAGCTGTCTTTGTGCCAAGGATCAGCTTAAGTGTAACTTAAGGTCTTTTCAGAGCCTTTCTCTGGGTATGCATAGTCATTTTCTAATTTTCCCCACATATATAGTTGTTTTTGAATGTTCTGTTCTTTAATATAGGCCTCCAAAGGGGTGGGGGGATGAAGAGAGGACAAAGAGGCATTGGCCTTTTTAACCCACTGGAAGTCTCCTCAACTGGAGGATAAAGGGATTGCAACAACGGGAGAAAGTGTAACAACAATGGCTGCCTGACAGTCTGTACTTTCATGATGAGAAGCAACAATCAGCAATCAGAGCACAGGTTCCTAATATTTAGAGGACAGGGTCATTTATGCCCACCCTAGCTTGCATAAACTGCATGCAAACTATTCCAGGAACACATGCACAATTTCCTACTAGATGGCTGGAAGTGGAGAATGAGTCGCTGCTACTGTGTGAAGAGTTGAAATTAACTTTAGTTTACCATACAAGTTTCTATAGACTCTTGAGTTCCAAAATAGTTACATCAGACAGATTTTTGCCAGTGCAATTATTGTCTAGCTGAGGAGACAGATTCCTGATGCTTCCTATTCTACCATATTCCCAGAATCCTCTTATCCTGGAAAGGTGTGTGTTTTTCCCCCCACAAAGGTTTTTTTACTTTTTAAATTTATTGATTTTTTTAGCCAGGCTGGCATGGTTCAGTGGTTGAGCATTGACCTATACACCAAGAGGTCACAGTTTTATTCCCTGTCAGGGTATATAGGGTTGTGGTCTTGATCCCCAGTGTGGGGTGTGTAGGAGGCAGCCAATCAATGATTCTCTCTCATCATTGATTTTTCTGTCTCTCTCTCCCTGTCCCTTCCTCTCTGAAATCCATTAAAAATATATTTTTAAAAAGGTTATCTTAAACTTACTGATTTTAAGAGAGAGAGAGAGAGAGGGGGGGAGAGAGAGAGAGAGAGAGAGAGAGAGATCGACCTGTTGCATTATGCATTCATTGGTTGATTTATTTTATTTTTTAAAATATGGAACGCTTCACGAATTTACGTGTCATCCATGCGCAGGGGCCATGCTAATCTTCT